CTGGCACCCGCCTTGGCTGGCCTCGTGTTGGCCCACTCGCCAGCCCCACCCCCTGCCACTGCCTACTTGTTGGCCAGCCCTGCTCCTCGTGGCCGCAGGTCACCTCCCTCTATGGGGCTATGTGGGGTAATCAGGAAGTGGGGTGGGGGGGAAGGGCGCGGGCTCGCTGGCACCTGCTTTGGCTGGCCTGAGGGCAGCTCCTGTGTTGAGTGTCTGCCCCCTGAAGGTCAGTGCGTTTCATAGTGACTGATCATTCACCGTTTTGGGTCAATTTGCATATTAGGCTTTATTATATAGGATAAAGTTGGTTTTTGGGACAAGGGTTTTATTGATCATGTTTCAGTTTGTAGGTTTGAATTCAATGGAATTTAAAATTCAGTTCCTCAGTTGCATGGGCCACATTGGCCTGGTGGCTACTGTATTGAACAGTATGGGTTTTATATGGTGGTGTTTCCTCATTCCGTGCCTTGAGAGGGTACTAGGCCATTTTAATGAGGTTTGAGTGCTCTGCTTATTGATTTGCTTTCCTTAGGAGTATTTCAGAAAGTAGGGTATGACAAGGATGATGATCATAAAAACAACCAAAGGGTCTCTGAACCAAGATAGGAAATTCAGGACAAGAAGAAGGGTGGGGCTGTAATAGTTTAGAAAAGGAAATGGGGATGAGGAAAGAAAACAGGCTTTGGTTTAACCCCTAATCAAATGCTATTTGGGGATAAATTCTACAGTAGTCAAGCAGCCCAGGGAAAAAAGATTGTAAAAGATGCAGCCTTGTGAGAGAGAAAAAGTTGGATTAAAAAGTGTGTTTGTCTGTTCTCAGAAGAGCAAGAGGAGTATTGCTTATATAAAGTGCTAATATTGTACTTTTATAGAGCTTTTTACCTAAAGAATTTAAACCTGGCCAACATGACTCAGTTGTTGAGCATTAGCCTATGAACCAGGAGGTCATGGATGGATTCTGAGTGGGAACAACTGTGGCTAGTACTAGGCATGCTAATCTGCTCATGCCAAACTGGGAAGATGGGGAGTGGAAGGACAGCACAGATCCCCTGGATATGCTTGGCCATTTCTTCCAGAGCAGGGCTCCTCCTGTCTTTCTGATAGCCCTAATGCTTCTCATAGTGCTCTGAGTTGTGTGGTGTGTTTTGTTGTTGTTGGTTTTTTTTAAATGAGGAAATATCAAAGATCGATGACAGCAAATTTAATGACTTGCTTCCTAAAACTTAGAAGAATTTGTTATAGATCTTCCCACCTTTTCTGGTAAATGGAGGTGAAGCTTGATGATCATCAGAGCCCAGACCCTTCAGAAATAAGTTCTCAAGTTACCATTTTGCTATCTCAGGATTAGAGAAAATCCTGATGATAATAGTGACCATGCTCAATCTGAAGGCAGCAGACATTTATTGAGCACCTATTATGTGGTGCAGTAGAAAAAGGCATTCAAAAACCAATAAGCACTAACAGGGCACCTACCATGTGCTCAGTACTGAGCTAGGCACTGGTATAACAGTAACAGCAACTAGACTTAGAAAGTGCTTGTGTGCTGCTAGACTTTACTAAGCACTGTAGGTATTTTTCATTTTTTCATTTTACACAGTAGGTGACAGAGGCACAGAAAGGTTAAATAATTGAACGAGGACATGGTTTTCTCATTGCACCTAGATGTGAAATAACTTTTCAAAAGTTACCCGGCAAGTAAGAGATGAAACAAGGTTTGAACCTCAGAGCCCCACCCTCACACTTGAACGTTAAATAGATTTGGAGTGGAGTCCCTCCTCTCCGCCTACAGTTGTATGACTTTGGGAAATTACTTAACCTTTTAGAGTCCTAGTTTCCTCTTCTGTAAATGGAGAAAATGACATGTGCTTTTAGAACTTTATAAGGGTGATAAATAAGGCAAAGTGACTAGCATAGTGCCTGGCAGACAATATCATCATTAAGGGCTCATTCATCCAAGTGCATAATCCATCACTCAGTACTTGCACTGCTAGGGCAAGTTGTTGAAATACGGAAATGCTTCCATGCCAGCTGGCAGAGCCTCTGCCCTAGGCCCCTTGGGTACCTCCCTTTCTGGCCATTCAGTTCTTCCTGCAGAAGCCCGGCCTCCACCCCTCCCCCGCTCCCTCCCTCCCCCACTGCAGGCACTCTAAGGGCCTCTGGGACTCTGTTCTGATGGTTAGTGCCTGGGTCACCCAGTTGTTAAATATTTTCACTATCTCCTGGTATAGATTGGCTTTTGTCTTCATTGAGAGCACAGCCATGGAGGGGCATGAGAGGGCTAATGATGAGGGCAAAGGTGAAGAATGCTTCATGCGATGCAGGATGGCGAAATGCCCTGCTCACGTGGGTCAGGAAGGCTTCATGAAGCTGGCTCTATACATGACCTGTTTGGGTGGGTAGTGGCTTCCTAGAGATCACTAGTTCAGGCCTCATGACCCTTTGCCTAAACTCCCACAAGAACTTTACAATTAAGTGGTCCTCTCTATAATTAAGTGTACTGACTGTTCTACGGTCCATTCTGTGGTTTTCTTACTCAACAACCGTTAGTAGCTCCCAGTGGCCCACTATCATGTAGGCCCAGCCTCTGCTTCTTGCCTTTCCCACTTACTGTGGTGCCTGGCATACCTGCCAAGTGGGATGCTCCCTGTGTGGGATTCTGTTGCTCCTCCTGCTTGGAACTTGTGGATCCTACTTGAGGGTTTTTCAATACCCTCCTCAAATACAACTTCTTTCTCCCATCTAAGTCCCTTCTCACCCCCGCCCCCCAATATCTCTTCTCCCACCCCAACGTGGTGTTGGGGGGATGTGTTCTGATAACTATCATACATTGGTGGCTTATTAGGTGCTAGACTGTTCTAAGAGCTTTGCATGTTACCTTGTTTTAGCCTCACAAAAACTCTTAAGGGGTAGGCACTGTTATCTTCTTTTAAGATGAAAAAGACCCAGGCACAGAAAGATGAAATAACTTTCCAAAGGTTGGACCCCAAGTAAAAAGTGGGGCTGGGATTCTAACTCAGGAAGCTTGTCTTCAGAGCCTGTGCTCTTAATCCGTGTTTTATAGTGACTAATAACTCTTAAAGAAAGAGAGAATAGAAGAAAGCATTTCTCATGTTATTACTCCAAATATACAGGTTGCTTTTGTAATTACTTGTTATTATTTTATGTCCTTCTTTATGCGAGCTGAAAATTCCTAGAGGAGAGGCACTCTGGGCCTCATGGACTGGTGTCTCAGTTGCCATCAATCATTTGTGGGCGTCGGTAATGCTACTGAGGCCTCACATCCTGTGGAGGACTCTGTGAATTGGCCACAATCAAGCCCACCTTTCACTAGCATTTCTCCTAACTAAATACAGCGAGTCCTCAAATGTCATTTTGTTCAATGTCTTTTCCTTATAACAATGAGATGTCATAGGAACTTTACTCTTATGTCTATTAGCCTATGGTAAAAATTGGTTTCATTATACATCATTTCACTTAAAGTTACAAAACCTATCAATAACACCGCGTGAGGACTTAACACTATACATCACTTGGCCAAATCCTAGTCAGGCTAACTGTTCCACATAGACTCCCATGTGCTTGGTTTCACGATTCAGACTGTGGTTGAGTTATCATTTATGTTCTGCATAATGGAGCAGAGGTGTATGTGATTTCCCCCTTTTAGAGTTGGAGAGACTAAAGTGTTTGGAGGTTATGTACCCAGAGTTATCAGGCAGGTCTGTGCTGGAGTTTAAGTGGGACTAACTGGGACTGACTGTCCAGGACCCTGGACAACCCTGTGGTGATTCTACCTTAAAGTTGTGTACTAAGGGTCAGTAGATGGTTGACTGACCAAAGAATTCTGGAACACTCTTCCCCAATGTTTTTACCTTGGCACAAAATAAAATTATGACATCATGATGAGAACACAGAACTTCTCTATTTATATTTTTAGAACTTGCTAGATTTTTCCAAGGGTGGCTGGTCAGCCCTCCTGCTGGAGAAAAATCATTGTGGAGAACTTGTACCACCTTCCATCGGAACCTATGTGACAACTGTGTTTGTTTTTAAATCTAGAAAACAGTGATAGGTGCTGGCTTTTGAACCTAGACACAATTCCTTGATAAGCAACCAAAATGTAGGAACTTTTAGAAACTCTTTTTTTTTTTTCTTTTCGTTTTTCGGGTTTACCATGAACAGATGAGAGATAGAGAGGGGGGGGGGATTCTAGGGGGTAAGGAACTCATATAAAATTAATATCTATTAAATATCTTGTAGTAATGCTATTTTGTTATCCATGGGTATCCCTTGCCACGTTTTGCTGTCATCTCCATTTCTGCCAGAGGTGACCACAAGGTTTCAGGTGTGCGGCGCCCTGAAAATGGAAGTGGGGCATGGGGTGATCAGGCAGGATCCGGACTTTATTGCAGAGCAAAGTCCACCTCCACCGTGAAAAGTTCGAATGGTTTGTTTTGCTTTGGTTCTGGCAAGCCAGCGCACAAGCCAGAACCTTTTCCTACAAACAATATAGGGGGCTAAGTCTCCTACCCTATCACCTACTTTCTGAGCCCAGGCCCGCCACCCGCCTGTCGCTAACCGCCTGCACACCGCGTCCCCTTTAAGAGACTGCTCCGCGGGACTAAGGTTCGAATGGCTCCGGCGCCCCTCCTCGGGCTCCGATTGGCCGCGCGCAGCTCATGAGGGCGTGTCGGCCCCGCCCCAGAAAGGTTGGCGGCCCTTCGCGATTGGCGGGTGGGAGGTTTATATAAAGCGCCGGACGGTGGGGCTGCCCTCAGTTAGCGACCGGACGGGAGGCTGCGCGCTTGTCTGCACTGGAGGGGACGAAGGGGTTAGTGAGCGCGTCATCGAAATCGCTTTCTCCTCGCAGTGTTCCGTTGTTGAGGGTCCACCCCTGGGACCGACTTTTTGAGGCTCTAGACTCCTCTCCCGGCTGGTGACCGGGAGCCCGGGCTCAGCCCTCCCCTCCGCGCCAGCCCGCCGGTGGAGGGTCGGCCGGCAGAATGGAGTTCAAGCTGGAGGCGCACCGCATCGTCAGCATCTCGCTGGGCAAGATCTACAACTCGCGGGTCCAGCGGGGCGGCATCAAGCTGCACAAGAACCTGCTGGTGTCCCTGGTGCTGCGCAGCGCCCGCCAGGTCTACCTGAGCGACCCGTGTCCCGGCCTCTACCTGGCCGGTCCCTCCGGGACCCCCCTGCAGCTGCCCTCGGAGCTGGCGGCCGGGTCCCCGGCGGGCTGGGGAGAGCCGCCCCCGCCGCCCGCCCCCGCCGCCGGGCTGGAGACCGAGCCGCGGCCGGAACTCTCTGCGGCCCCAGACGCTCTGCGGGCGGGTGACGCCGAGCCCGCGACTACCGTGACCTGCGCCAGGGACACTCTTCAGGGCGGAGAGGTGGCGGCGGGGGGAGCCGGGGACCCAGCCGGAGGCTCGGACGTCTTCCCGGGGGGGCCCCGAGAGGCTCGCCGCTACCGTGGCTGCCCCCAAGGGGTGGAGGACCAGCCGGGGACGCCGGGCGCGTCTCCCCCCGGGGACCGCAGCGCGGAGGACGGGCCCCCCGCGCCGGCCCCGCTCTGCCCCAGGAAGCGCCCCGCGGCGGGGGCCGGCGGCTGGGGCCTCGCGGGCCGCCCGGCGCCCGGCCTGACCCCGGTGAAGAAGCCCCGCTGGGACCCGGAGGGACCGCTGGGCCGGGCGGAGGAAGGGGAGGAGGAGGAGATGGAGACCGGGAACGTGGCGAACCTCATTAGCATCTTCGGCTCCAGCTTCTCGGGACTCCTGCGGAAAAGCCCGCGGGGCGGCGGGGAGGAAGCCGAGGGCGAGGAGAGGGGCCCGGAAGCCGCCGAGCCCGGGCAGATCTTCTGCGATAAGGGGGTGCTGAGAGACATGAACCCCTGGAGCACAGCCATCGAGGCCTTCTGAGCTCCCGGCCCCGCTGGGCGGGCTGGAGGTTGAGCATCGGGCGTCCCGACGTGCGGGCTGGGCTGCTGCTGCCCCCGAGGACGCCCCGGAGACGCGGGCGCCGGGGAGACTGGGCGCTGCGGGGCGGCACGGACCGCCCTCGGCCTCGGCCGTGCTGGCCTCTCCGGGGACCTCTCTTGAGACTTGGGAGCGCGAGTCTTATCGGAAGAGGACGGCTGTTCATTTATGTGTCTGTGTATCTGCGTCTGTAAGTTTGTGTTTGTGAATTAAGACTATTTTGTCCTCCTGGAATGCTTCTTCGCCCCTGCCCCAGGGCCGAGGAGACCGGGGGCAGGCGGGGACTTTCCTCCACCCGCAGCGCCGAGAAGGAAGCGGCTCGCAGGGCCCGGGAGTTCCCCGTTCGTGCTGGAGGCAGGAAGGGACTTTACACACGCCCCTCGCAGGAAAGCCAGAGCCCTAGCGGGGCCCGGAGCGGCGCTTCCTCGCAGGATTTCCTAAGACTACAGTGATTCGGTCTGGAGTAGAGACTTGTATTATTTCTCCCTCCCCTCCTTTCTCTCTCTGAAGAAACGTTTAAGAAACCCTGTGATGATTCTGGGAAAGGGGACTCAGCGGTCCTTGTCTTCCCCACGGAGGGGGTGGGGTGGGTAGGGAATAAAAAGCTTGATGAACTTCACAGAAGAGTTCAGGCTTGGAAATAATGGAGTTATAGAGAAAAGATATATTTTTTAAAAGCTCTAGCTCTAAACTACACAGTGCTTTTAAAAAGTGTTGATTGAAACAAAGTTTACAGACAGAACCAACCCCTAAGTGAAAAGACCATATGGTTTCGTAGCTATGGTGACTCCAGTCTTTGTTGTATAAAGGTTGGGGGAGCTGGGTTTTTTTTTTTGTTTGTTTGTTTTTTGTACAGTATTTTCTCCTTCGTTGTATTGACTTTTTTTGTATAAAAAATGTAAACTTCACGTGTCTAACACGTATTAAATATTTTGAAGCAACATCTCTGCCTCCTTGTCTGTCATCACCTGTCTGGGCTGGGAGGAAGGGGGAGGAGGGGAACTGTGGTCCAGGCTGGGAAATAGAAGGTGTGGTTCTTAATATCAGTCAGGCACAGACTGGGGATATTGTTTGCTGACTTCACTAAGTATCAAACGTTTAAGTTTCTCCCGCATCAGAGGACTGCTATTAGATACTAATATCAGTGGCCTGCCTGTTTCTTTAAACTTACCACTAAAACTGCCTTTTTAAAAAGTCAGTTTAGGACAATCTTACTAATACTTTTTTTTACAGCTCAGTCTGATGGTGTCTTAATATTAAAGAACATAAGTACCAATTTTTGAAGGTTTTTTCCCATCCACAAAAATGTTTTTCACTAAAACCTTTTTGTCACCTGTTAAGCTATATAACATCTTTCAGGTTGGTTATTGAAAATAACTCACATGTGAAGGAAGCTGATGATACGGATTTGCCCAGCTGCGCAGGCCCACCTCTGCATTCCAGTGACTGCCAGGATAGCATTTTCAATGCCTTTTCCCGTTGGTTGTTAAATCTGTAAAAAGTAAATGCATTAGTGAAAGGAAATTGCTTATGTCAAATCAGATAATGGGAGGAGGCCTAGGAGGACTAAGCAAACGTAACTTATTTAGCAAAACTTCCTGATTTGTTTTGTCATCCAAACGGTGACATCAGTGTTTGGGTGGTGGTAAACATGTAGGTGATCACAGCCAAGTCATCAGTTCCTTTCACTACAGTTGCTGCATTTCAGAGAGCTTGTTGTCCAAGGCAAAATATTCAATATTTGAAAGTTCTTCAATAATCTATTTCAAAAGCAAATCAATTAAAGAACAGTGTCTTAAAATATGGTTGTTAGTACTTAGAAATATGGCATTGGCATATGAAGCTTATGAATAAAGAGAGTGAGAGAGAGGAGGAATTGAGAAAAGATTAGAGTTTTAAGTCAAGTTAGGATCTTTAAGCAAAAAGGAACGTATGAATAGTGCTCTGGCCTTCCTAAACCCCTGATTATATGAACTTTGTTCGCAGCTGAGTAGGCCAGTGCTTTGATATCTTTTTGAACCTATTGGTGGTTCAGTAAGCATAAGGAACTTTCTACTTTGTGCTCTATCACCATAATATATTCCTTGAATTATACACTCTCTAATCAAACATTCTCTATCTTGTTAAAATTGACTTTTTTGTCTTTGAGAGATAGCTACTTAAGTTTTGTTATAGCCACACGAGATCCATTGAGTGCTGACTGCTTAAACTGAAGAAGATGTCCAGAGTCTTGATTCTGCAAACATTTCTGGTTGCTAGAAAGTAATTAACGATGCTTGAACAGCTACCTCCGTGCATTTTTATATTTGAGAGGGGGTAACATTTGTTGTGTATAAGAGAGTTGGTATGTTTTAGATGAGATGAAAGTTCCTGTTGGTACTTGTTTTCACATTAAGATGAACCATAGGACCAAGTGTCTGCTTAACTTAGAGAATGTAAATGGACATATTTGATAGGGGGTTACAGCTTTGTAGGAATTCAGAAAAGGTCATTATCTTTTTTGTTGCAGAAGCAGTAAGTGTAATGGTTAGAACGTGGGCTCTGGAGACAGACTTCCTGGGCTTGTATCTTGGCTCTGCCGTTTATTAGCTGAGGGCCCTTAGACAAGTCACTTCATCTCTTTGTACCTCAGTTTTTTCAAATGTGAAGTTGACATAATCATATCTACCTCCTAGGGTTGTGCAAATTCATGAGTGAATGCCCCTAAAGTTCTTAGGAAAGTACCTTATACATAACAAGCATTCAATTAAACTAATACTGTTAAGGTAGACGGGAGTTATATATAAATCAGATATATGATGATCAAAAAATTGTGTAATTTATAAGAAAGGAGGGGAAAGGAGAACCTATTTTTAATTATCCTAGCTGTGAATGTGGGGTTCTTTTATTCTATTTTTCTCAACACTTGACGGTCCCAAAGCTTAGTTTCATCAGCACAGTTTTGCTGGTTGGCAAGCCTCACACCAACCTAGCAACTTTCCTGATTGTAATCAATGTACTCGGTTTTCAGGGAGGAGTAAGCAGGAGTGAAAACACTCAAGGAGCAAAGATCCTGTTGACATACTTTCTGTGGATGAGCAAAGGGGGAAAAAATAGCCCACAGAGTTATTTTTAGCCCAAATTGCTTGGGCATAGAATGTTTCTTAAGCTGTGCTAATTGATGGGTACCCGGAAAAGAACTTCCCAGTGCCAGGATGGGGTTATCACACCACCAAATCAGATTCAGCGTGGCTAAACATGAAGCAATACTGTTAGTACCCAACTGCTGCTTGACCCCCCCTGGGAGGGGCCTGTTCTCTAGATCAAGTTAACCTCAGCTCTGGTCTGGGGGTGGGGGTGGGAAGAAATTAACAAAGAATGTATATGCACTTATGTATAACCTATGGACAGTCTATAGTTTGGTGAAGGCCTGAGGAAAAGGAGCAGAGTGGAGAGGATCAATGGAGAGGGGAAATGGGAAATGGGGATCATTGTAATTCTTTCAAAAATAAAGATAAATTAAAAAAAAACAACACCTTTTTTTGGGGGGGTGGGCGTGGGGGAGGAGGAGTGCTTTGTGACAAGTACTCCAAGAAGATTACTTTAATAATGAGTAAAGGTGTTGAGTTTTAGTACAGTACTTCTCAAGCATGTCTCTTTCCAACTGTTTCCCTCTCAGATTGAACTTGGGGAAGGGAACTAATGGGTGGACAGCTTGATCTGCCCCTCTGTAGCGATCGGGCTTGCTCTAAGGGATGTAATGCAGTGATGATAACCCTTCCGTCCCTACCATTCATCACAGATTGGGTTTGGGGGTGGGAAGTGAAAGGAGAATGGGCCATTTAACAACGCTGGTAGCATGCTTCTCAGAATAAAGATTAGTAAATATTGGGAACAGAATTAATAATGACAAAACTGCTCCATTCTGTCACTGGATTAGTCTTGAGTTTCTTACTGCAACTCCCTAGGCACGATCACGCAGCTTAGAGCCTGTGAGATGGGGTCGAAAGGCTAATACCCACTGTGACATGGAGTTTGATGGACATTTATTTCCTTATACTTTTAAAAAGTAGAGTTAGTTCAGTTCACTGAATAACCAAAGAACTTCTGATCTCTTGCCCTAAATATTTTATTCTTGTCCTGTTTGTGAAATTTTTATTCTCCTCGACTTGCTTTCATCCCAGCAGTTACTGAAAGAAAACGAGAATGAAAAGAAACGCTGATCCAACCCTCCCGTGACTATGAAAGAAGCCATTACTATTAGGTGCAGAACTCCAGTGGAGAGAGAGGGCTGCTTCCCAGGGTTCCTGGCACTCTTTCCAGTAATGAGCAGTTTGTCTCTGAGCCTTTGAACCATTGTTCGAATTTAAAATTCTACCCAGTGGAAAGCTTTGGGAGCAAAAAAAAAAATATAGTAGAAGCAGAGTTATGTTAGGATTCATTGTGATCTTAACTCACGCCCTCGGAGTTTTCAGACAGTTATGGAAGGTACAATCGAGAAGGGAATACGTGAGAGCAGAAGTGTAAAAGGATACACACAGCTAGTGGAATGCTTCCTTCCTCATCCAAACACAGTTTTTTCCCATTGCCTGCCAGCCACCCCCCACCCCCACCCCCAGCGGGAAAGAGGGTTGTAAAAATAAAATCCCTCTCTAGCAATTGCTCTCTCCCAGAGGAACATAGCCCGAAGCATCTTTGCTGGACTATATCCTGGGGTTTAGCTCAGACTTTTGGAATCTTACACGCAGGGCGGGAGAAGCCTCCGGGGACTGCATTCCTGAAAGGGCCTCTCTCTCTCCCCTGCTCTTCTGACCAGCTGCACACTCCACCACTGGACCCTGCCCACTTGTGGGGAAAGACGCTGCCCACAAATGGGCAGGTGACGAAGAATATTGCCTGTCAGCTTTCTGAAAGCTGCTGGGAGAAAGGCTGGCCCCTAACCATGATTCTTTCAGGGGATTGGT